CATCAATGACCAAGTGATTGTATTCAAGCGGCAATTATTGAGACGTTGTCGTTTAATGATGTTATTTTGGAGATGATGGTTAGACAATGAATATATATCCTTTCATAAAGAGAATAATATGTTATTTATAATTTCCTAGAGTTGCATTTTGCCTAAATCGACCACATTTCAAAAACAATTCATCTAATGACTCGTGTTTATTCATTCAATCATTTTATCATCATCTTGTATCCTACGAACTTTATTGACTCAAGTATTAAGAGATCTTGAGCTCATCTAGTTGCTCTCTTTAATTGTAAGAATATCATACTTAAAGTTCATATATGGTTCTTGAATTAACATCTCAAAGTTTCTAATAACAATTTAATTCTTTTATTTGGGATTTATTTTGCTGAAATATTCAATAAATTATAAGTTTGTTGAGATTAAAATGTAAATCAAATGATGCTAAATTTAATTTGAAAGTCTAAAATCCAAAGATTACATTGATATATGTTTTTGATGGGATTATTTTTTGGGTGATGTATCAATCATTATTTCTTTATTTATTATTTGAATTTTTGACTCAATTAAAAAAACAATTATTTAATTAAATAATTACATCATATAGTTTGAAAACATCAATTCCATCATTATAATATTGAAACCTTAAATTATTATATTGGCCAATAAACTTTAAAATTAACTTACAAATAACTTTGATATTGATGCTGAAGACATTAAAACAACATCAACTATATTTTATTAAGATTCGTGCATGATCGAACTTCCTGCACATTTACATAAACATCCCCCTATTTCCATAGATTTATTTTTTTAACTCTTAAATTTTACTTTTTAAATCACTCACATGTTACATATCACAAAAAAGTATCATTATTGAAATTCAAAAACAAAGAAAATACACATTTTCATGAATTGATAAGAACATATATGTAAAAATTGAGCAAAGTGTTTTAATAGTTCCCGACTTTTAACATAAGGTTGTTTTAGTCCCAAAGTTTATAGAAGTGTCAAAATAGCCCACAATTATTTTAAAGTTGAGCTATTATAGCCCTCTGTTTGGTTTGTAATTTTGCTGAAATCGGAGTTCCGGATGACTCGCAATCGAAGTTTGAATGTTCGTGCTCAAAATATTGCATCGAGATTCGTGCTGGATTATGATGATTTGTTGGTGGCGTATCAGAGATGATAGTTAGACAATGAATATATATCCTCTCATAAAGAGAATAGTATGTTATTTATAATTTCTTAGAGTTGCATTTTGCCTAATTCGACCACATTTCAAAAATAATTCATCTAGTGACTCGTGCTTATTCATTCAATCATTTTACCATCATCTTGTATCCTACGAACTTTATTGACTCGAGCATTAAGAGATCTTGAGCTCATCTAGTTGCTCTCTTTAATTGTAAGAATATCATACTTAAAGTTCATATATGGTTCTTCAATTAACATCTCAAAGTTTCTAATAACAATTCAATTCTTTCATTTGGGATTTATTTTGCAATATTCAATTAATTATAAGTTTGTTGAGATTAAAATGTAAATCAAATGATGCTAAATTTAATTTGAAAGTCTAAAATCCAAAGATTACATTGATATATGTTTTTGATGGGATTATTTTTTGGGTGATGTATCAATCATTATTTCTTTATTTATTATTTGAATTTTTGACTCAATTAAAAAAACAATTATTTAATTAAATAATTACATCATATAGTTTGAAAACATCAATTCCATCATTATAATATTGAAACCTTAAATTATTATATTGGCCAATAAACTTTAAAATTAACTTACAAATAACTTTGATATTGATGCTGAAGACATTAAAACAACATCAACTATATTTTATTAAGATTTGATCGAACTTCCTGCACATTTACATAAACATCCCCCTATTTCCATAGATTTATTTTTTTAACTCTTAAATTTTACTTTTTAAATCACTCACATGTTACATATCACAAAAAGTATCCTTATTGTAATTCAAAAACAAAGAAAATACACATTTTCATGAATTGATAAGAACATATATGTAAAAAATGAGTAAAGTGTTTTAATAGTTCCCGACTTTTAACATAAGGCCGTTTTAGTCTCAAAGTTTATAAAAGTGTCAAAATAGTTCACAATTATTTTAAAGTTGAGCTAGTATGGCCCTCTGTTAGGTTTATCTCATATACCATATAAGAGACAAATGCTGGAGCGAAACAGAGAGAGCGGAAGCATATGTCCAATCGGGGGAAGTTTCGTTATGTGGGTTGGGGGTGCAGGGGCAACGCCCCCGCGGTACGGTACAGGGTTTATTTTGTAATTACATATTGTACATCAGTGCTATATATATATGATGTATTATAACCCTAAGGAACATATTGTAATCTTTTTCTGAATTGAAGGAAAAGCCACCGCTCTGCTTTCGACGACGTATGCAAATTGTCGGGCCTCGTTAAATATTTGTGTTTCTTTCTGGATTTGAGTCGATTCTTGCAATTTCTTTGCCATAAAATTCTCAACACTCTTCATAAGGATTCCTTCAGCCCAATTTAAAGTGTCAGTGGACTATTTTGACACTTCTATAAATCCTAGGACTACAGCGGTCTAACGTAAATAATCGAGAACGATTTTGACACTTCAATTGAAGTTTGGGAGTTAGATATGTAAATACATAGGAATAAAACGGTATGTATGTAAATCTTCCTCATTTTTTTACCATAAGACATTTTGTCACTAAATATATGTTAATGAGGGTAACTTCGTAATTGATTGCGTCATTTGAAGTAATTAATTAATTGTTTATAAGATGGTTGAATAATAAACGTTGGGAACCTACGCAATATGTGAATATTCTATGCAATTGGGATTCTATGATATTGGATGAATGAGATTATTTCAAATTTATTTTAAAAAAAATTAATTACTCTTAATAAATTTAATTGCATGTGCTTAAATATATTTTTGATGAGTGCATCAATAACTTGAATATAGGCATGGGGTCATAAAGATATTTATAATAATCAAAATGTGACATCTATGATGTTCGTCATTGCCAACTAAGCCAATGCTATCAATCGCCAACAAGTCGTCGATTGAAGGTCGTCAACATAAATGAAAATGCTCGTTATCATGAACAACCCAATGCTCGCCATCGTCAATTGGCCTTAAAATCCACCATCACCAATGAGGTTGATGTTCGCCATCTCTTTAAAGCAATGATAATTCCTAATATTTCCATCGAAAGATGGCACATACCGACACTCTGCTGATATGATCACGAAAGACAACAATATCTATGAAAGACAATATGGCCGCTAGTCTAGCCCCCCAAAGGTTCAACATATTCATCGTTATTGATAATCATGATGTCGGCTGTCTCTAGTCACACAAACATCAATCAGTAAAGCTAAGATGTTCGCCCGTCTTAACTATCAAGGTTAATGTAGACCGATACCTATCATCCTCATCACCACTCCTCATCTTTTATAAGAAGAATAAACGACCTAATCATTAAGTGTCTCTTTATGACAAATTTGACCCTAAGAGCTCTCTCTATACTTTTGTCATGAAAGCTATCTTCAACAGTTCATCACTATTATCTTGTAATAATGTAGTTCCAATTACAAAGAGGGGCATTTTTGTAATATACAATTCATATTAGTGAAACTATTTCATTAAAATAAAAACCATTTATTTTTAATCATTTACTTTAACAAGTCCATATCATGTGTGTATTATTTTGATAAGTTGTTAAAATAATAAACTCTTTATTTTAATAACTAGTATTACTAATAATTTAAAAAATCATAAAAATTTATGTACATAGCAAACACAAATTTTAATGAATCTACACATCTCACACCTAAACTTTTATAATTACATACATAACATTTTGGTGCTCTAAACATATGCATGAAATGTGGTTCAATTTAAAATAGTGATAATAATGTTATTTTTGATATGCTATTAAGGATTTGATTGCTATGTGTGCGGACGTAAATGTTTAGGTGTGAGATAAGCAAACATGTGGATTGTGCGCTATGTATGTAAATGCCTCTGTCGAATCTGAAATTGTCTGGGAGACATATCCAAAGGAGAAACTATTATGTACGGAGCCCGAACACAGTTTTGCGTCCAAACTCCAATGATATTGCGACAGCTGTCTGTACGACTGACCCATATTGCAATATTAATCTAAAAGAGAAAAATGTCTCTATTGGAGGTGAATGAACCCTGCCCGAACCCGAACTCTCTATTCAAAAACTCGAAACTCGTGCTTGTATTTTTATTACTCGTGTAGGTCCAGTGTTCCATTTCATTCTCGATTACCCTCTCCTCTCTGTCGCCCGCTCCTCTCTATCACATTCTCCCTCTGTGTCACATTCTTCTCTCAATGTCAACGGTGTCTTCTCCTCTCTGCATCATCGATGTCTGCATCATTGTTGTCTTCGTCGCCATTTCCCCTCTTAGTTGCTAAGGTAATGTCATCCCGTGTTTTCGATTTCGTCTATCTACGTCGTCGGACTCTCACTTAAACTCATTACTCATTTCTTAGAATTTTCATGGGATGTTGAAGCATGAAATGGAAGAAAAAAGAGGCAAAAGCAGGAGCGATAGAGTTTCAAGGTAAAGGCTTTCTGGTTTATCAAGAAATGGATTAGGGTTGATTATGCTTATTTGTTGGTGTTTAATTTGTAGTTGTATAAATATAAAATTCAAATTTAAATTTTGAGCTTATATATCATTCTATTATTTAAAATCTTACATATGTGCCATTAACCCCAATACCACCTTAATAGCACCCCTAAACACCACATCTCAACACTACCATTAGCTCACCACAATATCACAGTAATATTACCCTAATATCACCTCAATATTATCCCAATACCACCCCATTACCGTAAACCAATTCATATACTTGTCTGCATTGGCTTATATATATCAGTTTTTCATGTGATATTAAAGATTTGAATGCTACATGTGTTATTTATATTTTCCTTACACTTCTGTCTTTTAGCAGAATGACTTTGTACTTAATTTATTTTCATTGAATTATTTTGTAGGGATTTAAGTGTGAGGATGCTTACATGTTGATGCAGACTTTTCGCTGTCAAAGTAGTATGTGACCACATACGTAGAAGCTTGAATGACAAAGCTGTAATTGTTTTGTGAGATCTTAATTTATTCTAATTACTTGAGATGCCTCCATAACAACAAGAAAATACACTGACCCTATAAGTTCTGAAATATTGGGATGTTTATAAGAAGGTTTTCAAGAGCGGCGGAAAACCCTTGGGCTAATGTCCAATAGAGGGGAACCCGTAATTTGGACAAGTCCATACTGTCAAGCATAACTTATTACAAATAAAGAACGAATGAACTCATGAGCATTGTTACAGGGGAGTATCTCGGTCCTGTTGTTGAGTTGGTTATCAAGTTTTTTTTTTTTTTTTGTCGGATTTATTTTTTTCTCTCGAGCAACTATAACGTGCCAAGCAGACTGTATTATTATTCTTTTTAATTTTTTTCATAAAATTCATAAAATATTTATCCCTGAGTACTCTATGTATGGAAAAGTCAGCATCAAGGTTGATGTATATGCCTTTGGCGCAGTTTCACTTGAACTCCTCGCTGGTAGAAAGCCAACCAATGATGTTTACTGTATCATGCTGTGCACTATCCTTTTCATTTTTGCATTCATAGTTTGAGAATTTCCTTTGGTTTATAGTTTGAGGTTTGAAATGGATGGCTCATGCTACGAGAATAAACACGTGCATCAAGCAATGTTCTATAACGCTCGAACGGGCATACTGCACTCGCGACATAAAAAATTAATATCAATAAATACATTATTTTGAATATACTTTAAACCAAAAAAAAAATAAATCAAGTCTTACACTTATTTTATAGTGAACCAAGAAAACTTAAAAGTATTTGAATTGTATTGTAATCACAGTGCTCCATAAATCTTTGACATTGCATTTCATTTTTAGCAAATCGAACGGACCCTGAAATTATTGAGAAAAGAAATTAAAGCCTTTAATATCAATAAAAAATATATTTAACCTACAAAAGACCAAGAGCAAATCACGAAATAGCATAAATGATTTCAAAACTCACCTCCATTTCATTCCTATCATTATATTATGGACTCTCGATCTTCAAAATTAATCTGTGGGGATTTATTCTAGACTCATCTCATCAATATATCGCAACAATTCTTAAATGAGAACCCTAAAACATCGGGAAAAAATGATGTCAGACCGTCGAACGGGAAATCTTAGGTCGAGAAATGTTGATGAGATTGAGCACTCGTATTGAATATAATCTTTTTATTCTCGCAATATTTTCAGGTTTTGGTTTGGATTGGGTCAATTTTTCAGGTTCTGGTTCGAGTTGGATCAATTTTTTATTTTAAATTAACATCACATGTGGGCCAGCCATACATACAGCTGTCACGCTGTCACGATGTTATTAGAGCCTAGAATACAGGAGAGAGATGGAGAGGTAGAGGAAGAGCATCGAATAAGATTTAAAAAATATACCTCATTTTTGCCGTACGATTGGTATCAACGTTGAATACCGAATCCACGCAGAACCGTACGATTGGTATCTACGTTGAATACCGAATCCACGCAGAACTGAGATTCCGGTCATCCGCAATCCCGATACAGTATACCGCGCGCAATCTTTGCTCCCGAAGATTCCCTTATCCATCCGACTCATCTGACCGTTCATTGAATCACTGCGCAGCCCAATTCTCAGCAACCATTTTTCTCATGAATCACTGCGGAGTACCAAACCGTCATAGGAGTCGTACTTTCGTCACTCCTTACTTTTCCCGCCTATAAAAGTTCGCGAGCTCTGTCTTGGCCTTCTGCACCTTCTCTATTCTACCAATGGCGGATCAAACATGCTCGGTCTCTAACCTCTCAGCTCTTCTCTCCACCGGCGGATCGACGAACTCCACGGCGGCGGCGCAGTACATCTGTTCGCAGTTACAGACTGCAGTGCTGACTACCGCGGACATAACCACTGCGGTGGACATGACCTTCCTTCTCTTCTCAACCTATCTCGTCTTCGCCATGCAGCTTGGCTTTGCGATGCTCTGTGCAGGATCAGTTCGCGCCAAGAATACTTTAAACATCATGCTCACCAACATCCTCGATGCTGCCGCCGGAGCCCTTTTCTACTACCTCTTCGGTTTCGCATTCGCCTTCGGATCCCCATCGAACGGATTCATTGGCCACCATTTCTTCGCCCTCAAATCCGTCCCCTCCCCTGGTTTTGATTACCCCTATTTCCTTTTCCAATGGGCCTTTGCGATAGCGGCCGCTGGCATCACATCCGGATCCATTGCCGAGCGTACCCAATTCGTGTCGTACCTGATCTACTCCTCTTTCCTCACCGGCTTCGTCTACCCTATCGTCTCCCACTGGTTTTGGTCCGCAGACGGCTGGGCCGCAGCGAACCGCAATCCTGGTGATTCTCTTCTATTCGGCTCCGGCGTGATCGATTTCGCGGGATCCGGGGTAGTACACATGGTTGGCGGCATCGCCGGTCTCTGGGCTGCGCTAATCGAAGGTCCCCGCATCGGTCGGTTCGATCACAACGGCCGATCCGTCCCCCTCCGCGGCCACAGCGCCACTCTCATCGTCCTCGGCTCGTTCATGCTCTGGTTCGGTTGGTACGGCTTCAATCCCGGTTCCTTCATCACTATTGCCAAATCGTACGGCCCGATCGGTTCTCTAGTTCACGGACAATGGTCCGCCATCGGCCGCACGGCCGTCACCACCACCATCGCCGGCTGCACGTCCGCTCTCACCACTCTGTTCGCCAAACGGTTTCAAACAGGGCACTGGAACGTGATCGATGTTTGTAACGGGTTGCTCGGCGGTTTTGCAGCAATCACCGCCGGGTGTGCAGTGGTTGAACGGGGGGCCGCCGTAATCTGCGGCTTCGTGGCGGCATGGGTTCTCATCGGATTCAATCTTCTTGCCGCGAGATTCCAGTACGATGATCCCCTCGAGGCCGCTCAACTTCACGGCGGATGCGGTTCGTGGGGGGTTCTCTTCGCGGGGCTATTTGCCAAGAAGGATTTTGTGGAGGAAGCGTATCCGGGGAGGCCGGGGAGGCCGTACGGGCTGTTCATGGGCGGCGGAGGAAGGCTTCTTGCGGCGAACGTTGTGCAGATGTTGGTGATTACTGGATGGGTGAGCGTGACGATGGGTACTCTGTTCTATGTGCTGCATAGGATGGGGTTGCTCAGAATCTCAGCGGAGGACGAGTTGGCCGGACTGGATGTTACGAACCACGGCGGCGCAGCTTATGTTTACTGCGAGGAGGAATCGGCCGGCGGTGGAAGCCATGGGGGGTTCATGATGAAGGCGACTAATTCGCGGGTGGATCCGCGACTCACTCCATTGTCTCCCAATGAGATTTAGCGATGCCGCCTCAGTATGGTATGTATCTTGTGGTCTGTATATAACTGTAGTATAGTATGGAGAATATGGCGCCGGATGAGTTTTCTAATTTGGTTTAGGGTTTTAACAACTTGTTAAACGTAAGATGTCAGCAAGATAAGTGCTTTATTTTGTTATTGACATGCGAGAAGGTGTGAGCTGCTGCCATGGATTACCTAATCAAATGAATTAAAAAGGACATATTAGGTTTTGTTGTTTTTTTTTTTTTTTTTTTTTTTTTTTTTTTTTTTTGCAGTAACGTTGGAATTTTATTATTAAAAATGGTTACATGAGCATGAACAAAAACTAAAAATAAAGTTGATTTTAAATAAGAAGCATTAAGATTTTATTAAATTGTAGAAAGTACAAAATTGGAACCAAAAGGCTCACCCTCAAAACTTCTCTTATTTTGTAGGCTAAGGGTGTGTTTGGGACAGACCGAATAGCAAAGTTGTTTGAAGTAGCTATTGTGTAACAACAGTGTGAAGAAGCTGTTGCGTGAAGCTGTGTCTGCATACTTAGTTTAGTTGTGCTGAACTTTAACTGTTTATGAGTGAAAATATTTTTGCATTTATATCATTGTGTTGTTTGTAAGATAATCATTTCAAGCTTAATAGCACATGCATGAAAATAAAAATTACATTCAAAAGTAGAAGTGACATCTCACGTAACAATGAATAACATAACAATCAAAATAAAAAAATAAGAAAATATAATAACAATAACTAGTATTTGAACTTGCGCCTAAACTCGTGTCACCGCAATATCACCACATCCCAACATCCCAACACCAATACACCATAACAAAGTAAATAACAAAGACAAGCCAACACCAATACACCATAACAAAGTAAATAATAAAGAGTTATATTGTGTGTTTGAGTGTGTGGCAAGGTATTCTAGGGAACAATAATAGAAACATAATTTCTCCAAAAAAAAACAAACCAACACCAACACAGAACATTAATTCCATAAGCCAACATTATTTCACTTCCCCACACTCCCAATTAAGAACACCAACCCTGGAAAACCAACAATACCAAAGAATAAGCCCTAGAATACCAACAATACCAACCATAGAAAGTGATATGCCACGAACAAATTTTCATCATCCGGCACAAATCTCGATGCAATTTTTTGAACACGAAACATTCAAACTTCGATTAAGAGTCATCTGGAGCTCCGATTTCAGTAAACTTATAGTGAAACTGATCAGCTCGACGAGACAGGCCTAATGATATGAAAGTCAGTCCAATTCGAGTCAAATCAAGCCTGGATCAAATCATTAAACCACTATTGGAGGATTTTTGGAGGCATTTGAAAGGTCAAACGGATGTCGAATCTAGCAAGTTCATTGTCGAATCAAGCGTCTCGACAAGACGAATCCAACGAGCCTAAGATTGCTCAATTCCAACATCGTTAAGACACTCAAATGTCCATCAAACATCATCTGATCAAAGGAAGCTCTTCGGACCGTCCGATTGAAATAATTCATATTCCTACATTAATTGTGTTTAAAACACTATAAATAGAGCCTCGCCCCTCACATAAAAGGAGAGGATGCTTAAGAGAGAACTTGAGACTTTGAGAAGGAGCTCAAGTCTAAGATCATCCTCGTCATCGTCGGTCGCCGTCGACCACCACCGACCGTCGACAACCACCGCTGAATGACGCACCATCCCTATCATGACCTAGCGCGCCTACGCTGGCCTAGTTGTGCACCCGCGGCCCAGACATTAAATCAAATTTGGAAGAAGATTTTTACCTTTGTGTGTGAGATTTCTCTCTTAAGGTTTCTTCCTTTCATTAAGTTGAAACCTTAGAGGCTATTTTCCTTCTCTTTTCTCCTTTCATTTCTTGTTGTTCTTGAGAGATTATTGTATGAGAGAGATTTTATGCTGTTGTAGAGAGGATAAACATTATTGTAAGTTTTACATTTATTTATTTCTTGCAACAATGACTTGCATGGATTTTTTTTTAGTGATTCTTTCCACCATAAGTAGCTAAATCTTTTTTCGTGTCTCTATACTGTAAGGTTAGTGGTTTTTCTATAGTTTTTTGAGATGTTTCCCATGTAAGGTTTTCCAAGCTTGCATATATTTAAATTGTTGGTTAACATTATATATTTCATTTACTATTTATCTGGCCAATTAGGATGTTATAATCTTTCAAGATCTATGACTTCTGCCCATCACATAGTGGAACGAATATATTAACCATAAAATCTTGATACAATTGACATTCTAATTAGGGTTTTGTAACACATGCAAGTGATCAGAAGAAATCTTGGGAAACGTCATGAGGTTAAGCGAAATTTAACTTCATGAGTTTCTGATTCTTCTTCTGACCTATGCATAGCTTAAGAAGAAAAATTCTTCCTGGTTGACAAGTATCACACAGGAAAATATTTAAGAAAACCACGAACTCCCATGATATCTAAATCACAAAGGCATGAATTTCATCTCTGTTGTGAGATATGTACTTCCTGACATAGAA